GCTACTTTTGTCTAGCATTTTGCTACTTTTGTCTAGCATTTTGCTACCTGCTTACTACAGACTCATGTTCAGGCTTCAGTTTAAAATATCTGGCCCTCTTCCTGCATCTGGAGGTGTAAATGTCTGTGATGGTGGGGAGACTGACTCCAACAGTCTTCTGTGCAGCCTTCACCACTCTCTGCAGAGCTTTCCTCTCTCCAGCTGTGCAGCCCCCGTGCCACACACTGATGCTGCATTTTGCTACTTTTAACTTTTAATCAGCATTTTACTACTTTAACTTCCAACTATTACTCTTTTGCTACTTTGGGGTAGTTTGTTGCTACTTTTAGCTAGCCTTTTACTATTTTGGCCAGCATTTTGCTAATTTTAGCTAATAGCCTGCCTTGTACAACTTTATATTTTTTTAACTAGCATTTTGATACTTTTAACTTTTATCCATTCAACCTTTATTTATACAGGTTAGTCTCATATGAGTCACAAAAACTCATTTTCAAGAGAGACCTGTTTTAGCCACATTTGTACTACTTTAGCTTCTAACTGTTTAGTCTTTTGATGCTTTAAGGTAGTTTTTTGCTACTTTTATCTTTAAGGTAGCCTTCTACTGCTTTTGGTTTACCATTTTCTAATTCAGTTTTGAGCTGATTTTTGCTGATTTTAGCTAGTCTTTAGCTAATTTTAGCTTCCAGCTATCATTTTGCTTTTTAGGCATTTAGCTTGTGTCTTGTCTTTTACTTAGTATTCAGTTTCACTTAGCTTTTAGTTACTGTTTTGCTTTTTTTAGATTTAACAACTCAGTTTTAGCTTCTTCAGCAAATTTATGCAAAGTCATGCACGCGGTATTCATTCTCAATTTTGGCAGAAAAAGCTGCTTCTCCAGCTGCATTTTGTTAGTCATGCAGCAGGATTGTTATTCCAGAAACAGCTGCTCTCTGCACCTGTTTCAGGCACAGCTGCACTGTTTTCACATGTGTGAACATTAACTAAACTTCATTCATTTAAAAAATATCTGGTGCATGCAGCAGAAATAAATCCATTGACTGTTAACTTTAGCAGGCTGTGACTAAACCTCCAAAGACATTTCACATTTGAAAAGCAAATGGTAACTTGGGGAGGATATGACCCAAACTGTGGTTGAAGCTTGATGTGCATTTGCAGTTTCCTGTTTCCTTTTTCACCTTGTAGCTCTGCCTTTTGCCTCCGTCCCTTTTGTCTTTAACCTCTCTTTTAAGAGTTACAACTTTATTCAGGAGGATATGAATTATTTCAATCAGTAAAGAAACGTTTTTTGTCATCTTTACTATTCAAGTTGTAATTTTGTTCTTTTTTTAAACATTACACTTCGTTCTCAAATACAAGTCCTACTAGACAAGCATTGTCTGCTTTACACATAAACATGAAAACATGCAAAAACTTTCAAGTATAGAATAATATTGCTGATATTTGCAGCTGCTTTTATTCCAATTTGTGCCTACATGCATGAAGCTTTTAAACACGTATGTTTTTTTGACTGTCACTACCTTACCTTACTTAGGGGTCGAGATGGTAGAGGTAGGACAGCTGTCTTGGGGCCAGAAAGTCACAGGCTAAACTCCCCGCCATGCCCACATGTTGTGGTGTCCTTGAGCAAGACACCTAATCCCTTACTACCCCCTGGTTGCATACATAGCGGCCCACTGCTCCACCTTGGTGTATCTCATGTGTGATGGGTTAAATGCAGATAACTAATTTCATCCTTGTATAGAAACATACAATGATGGCAACACATAGCACTTCATTTATACTTGTCATAATAAAGTAATGTCCAGGAGAAGATGCAGGTGGTTTTCAGCCACTGAAAACAAGCGCATTAGTGGCTATTTCATTATAAGTTTAAATCATTTTATACTTTTTTTTAAAGAACAACAAATAATTCTGTTTTGTCTGTTTGTGGTGCTATTTTTTTTTTTCCTGATTTCATAAAACAAACTCTGAAAAAATGCTTTTTGTGAGCCTTGGTCAGAAGCTCCATGTGAGTACAGATCAGTCGTATATGCACATGCAGCCCCCTCCCTCTGGTTTGGTGGGATTTTACTGTAATTCTCTGTAGCTGTGGGGGTGGAAGAGTCATTCCTAGTCTTTAATAAGAGTGAGATTATCAAGGTTCAACCAGCTATCCCTGCCCTCCCTTCCATCAGCTCACTGCTTTATTATTGTGAACTATTTTCCTGTTGTGTTTTTTAATTATTATTTTATTCTGTAGTTATTTTTTTACAATCTAGTCATCAAATATCAAAGCTTAAATAAAATATTTTACATTGGAAATATTCTCCCAGTGGAAATACATTGTGACATCATCCATTTCTTCAAAATGTTGTTCTACTTGAAATATTCTTCAGTATACAACCAAAGTCCATTTTCAATAATCCTGGATTATTCTATCCTATATCGTGCTTCGGTATTCTGTACTTGCTCTTTTTTGTGTGTTTTTTTAACATGTTAATTTTAGTTTTTAGTTGCCATTCAGCTACTTTTAGCTTTTTGTTAGCATTTTACTACTTTTAGCTATTGTTCTGCTACTTTTAGCTTTAATATATAATTTTGCTACTTTTAACAAGTTTTTGGATAACTATCCTTTAGATACTTTGTTTTTAGCTAGCCTTTAAATTCTTTAGGCCAGCCTTTTGCTACATGTTAGCTTGCATTTTGCTCATTTTAGCATTTTGCTAGTGCTTTGCTTCTCAGTTTCAGCTTCTTAAGCAAATCGCAGCAGTCATTCAGCACTTAGCATTCCAACTGT